TAACCCTAACCCTAACCCTAACCCTAACCCTAACCCTAACCCTAACCCTAAACCCTAACCCTAACCCTAACCCTAAAGCTAACCCTAACCCTAACCCTAACCCTAACCCTAACCCTAACCCTAACCCTAACCCTAACCCTAACCCTAACCCTAACCCTAACCCTAACCCTAACCCTAACCCTAACCCTAACCCTAACCCTAACCCTAACCCTAACCCTAACCCTAACCCTAACCCTAACCCTAACCCTAACCCTAACCCTAACCCTAACCCTAACCCTAACCCTAACCCTAACCCTAAACCCTAACCCTAACCCTAACCCTAACCCTAACCCTAACCCTAACCCTAACCCTAACCCTAACCCTAACCCTAACCCTAACCCTAACCCTAACCCTAACCCTAACCCTAACCCTAACCCTAATCCTAACCCTAACCCTGCCCCTAACCCTAACCCTGACCCTAACCCTGACCCTAACTGAGACAGCGCCTACCGGCGCACCTTAACCGAAGACAGCGCCTACCGGCGCACCTTAACTCCTAGGCACATGCCTGCCGGCAGCGCTGCCGCGCGCGCTGCCGCGCTCGCCTGCCCCCGGCGATGACCGTAACATCTTGGTAACCCATGACAGCGCCTGCCGGCGCACCTTAACTCCTAGGCACATGCCTGCCGGCAGCGCTGCCGCGCGCGCTGCCGCGCTCGCCTGCCCCCGGCGATGACCGTACATCTCGGTAACCGAGGTAACCGCGCCTGCCGGCGCACCGTAACTCCTAGGCACGTGCCTGCCGGCAGCGCTGCCGCGCGCGCTGCCGCGCTCGCCTGCCCCCGGCGATGACCGTGACATCTCGGTAACCGAGGTAACCGCGCCTGCCGGCGCACCGTAACTCCTAGGCACGTGCCTGCCGCCGGGTGTGTTCGATTTTATTAAATGCGCCACAGGTTTTGGCGGGCACTTTGGAACGCCCAGCCGGGTTTCGCTAAAGCAACAGTCGGTCGATGGACTTGAGCGCCCTTGTTGCTGCCCGGAAGCGAGAACGCCCCCGCACCCTGCTCGGCCGAGCGGTCTCGTCGCAGCCCACCAAGCAGGTGCGCAAGTCGCCCGCGTCGGAGGCTCCGAGGCCATCATGTTCGGCGGCGCAGAAACGCCCCTATGCGCCGCCCAGAGCCCTGAATTCGCAGAGCGGTGCGACGCCGTAGCACTCTTCTGCTGATATGATGTGCTGCGCGCGCTAGGCGCACCCTGGCGCGCGGTACACGGGATCCCACCCCAACCCACGACCTGCTCCCAGAAAACTATCACTCCATCCCCGCTCGTCATCGCGTGGCCCCACATTCTCAGAATGACGCCATTTTCCCCCTTCGCGGCGGCAGGAGCAACTGCGGGGCAGCGCGCGCCGCCCGACCCGGCGCCGCCGGCTCAGGGCCGGGAGGAGATCCCGCCTCGCCGCTTCTATGGGGAGCCGCGAGCCGCTCCCCGCGCCGAGGACTCAGCATCCTCGCAGCCAGCCCCAACGTCTCTCGTCGTTCGCCTGACGGCTGCACAAAAGGAGGACCTGCGTACGGAGCGAGTCAACATGAGTGTGGCGGCGGCAGTAGCCCTCCGCGCACCAAAGCGCTCGGCCGAGCCGTGGTCGGCAGTAGCCAAGTGCAGCCCGACGTCGGGTGCGATGGACCTCTTTGTCTGGTGGGCTGAGCCTCGCCCTTTCTCTCTGCGCGCGCTCTGTCACACACTTATGCCTCCCTCGCGTGCAAACACAGGCGGTACATAACGCCCACGTGGACGCTGGAGGCGCAGGCGCGGCCGAAGGTGCGCCAGTGGTCGACGAACTCCCAGTCGGTGTTGCGTGCCACCCTCGACCTGCTCTCGGCGCGGGGCTCCTTCAAGGCGATGTACGACGTGAAGGTGCTAGTCCCGAACAAGGACCGGCCCTCGACGATGGTCGCGGCGGGCGTGGTGCCGGCAACCTTCTCGGTGATCACCAGCGCGCGCAAGACGGTCACGATCGTGCTGCGCATGAAGATGGCCTACTTCAACGCGGTGAGCAGCGCGGTGAGCCCGGGGTACTCGACCCACACGCCTTTGACGCTCTGTCCCTTCTCTAGGTGGGGGATCTGCAGGTGTGTGCGCCGCACCCGCAGCAGGGACCGATCCCAGCCTTCGAGGGCTATGGGGAGTCGGGACTGCTCACGCAGGAGGCGCTCAAGGAGGAGATCAAGCAGTCGATCCGCCTGATGGTGTCGACCAGGCCGGCGTGGGGCAAGTACTTGGACCCGCGGCTGCTCACGGCGGCGCGACGCACGCCGGAGCAGGAGGCGGCGGCGGCGAGGCAGGAGGCGACGAGGGTGGAGAGGCTGGCGGGGGGGGCGGAGGCGGAGGCGGAGGCGGACGAGGACGCGACCCAGCCGTCCGCATCGCCGGCCAGCGTGCTGGCGGAGTCGGGCACGCCGCATCGGCCGTCGCAGGCATCGACAATCGTGCCATCGGCGCCGCCCACGGCGATGACCGTAACATCTCGGTAACCGAGGTAACCGCGCCTGCCGGTGCACCGTAACTCCTAGGCACGTGCCTGCCGGCAGCGCTGCCGCGCGCGCTGCCGCGCTCGCCTGCCCCCGGCGATGACCGTAACATCTCGGTAACCGAGGTAACCGCGCCTAAGGTGGAGGACATTATGCATTCCCTTTACCTCAAGGACATGTTCGCGCGCGGGCGCCTCCAGAACGCGCTCAAGCACGCGAAGGCGGACGTCGCCAAGGACAAGGCGCTCAAGCCCAACCCGGACTTTGTGAAGGTCTTCCAGCAGTAGAGTCTAGGTCTGGAGAGGGTGTTTTTTGTATTTGTTTATTGTCTAATAAGAAGCTAAGTCGAAATCTTTCCGTTTTTCCCCTCTGGGATCTGCTCGGGGGCTAGGGCTCTCTAGCCCGCAACCCGATGCCGATCATCTGGCCCGCTGGGTGCGCTTCTCAGCTCCCCGGCCCTGGATGTGGAGTGCTCCAAGTGCGCCAAGTGCTCCAAGTGCTCCGCAGGTGGGGACCCTGTGTCCTTCTAGCTCTTCTTTCATTTATTTATTTATTTTGCCTTAAACAGTTGATGACGCTTCCCTGGGACCCCGTGTTGCGTGACTTCTCTGTTTTTTTGTGACTTCTCTGTGTGCCGACGACACGCGCCACTCGCTCTGTGAGGGCGGCGAGGGAGCCGCCGCGGCAGAAGAGCCGCTCGAGCAGCTCGCGGAGCGGGCGGACGAGGCGCCCGCCGAGCACCTCGTTCGGCGCCGCCGAGAGGAGCTCCGCCGCCCGGCGCGAGGCCGGCGGCGAGAGGGAGGCGAGCCTAGGAAGTGAGTGTCTAGGAGGTGTCTAGGAAGTGTCAGGAAGTGTCTGGGAGGCGAGAGGGAGGCGAGCGGGTTCTGGAGCGAGAGTGAGCGCGTGCGCCTCCTCGCTCGAGTGGGAGAGGAGCGGGTTCTGGAGCAGCGCCTGTGCAACATGTCTCGGACATGTCGTGCGCGTGTCCTGGACATGGCCGGAGCGCGGTTCCGGAGGACCGCCAGCAGCGCGACCGTCTGCGCGCCCTGCGCCGCCTCGATCTCGCCGCCGAGGTGCGAGAGCAGGCGAGGAATGGAGGCGCGCAGGGCCGCAACCGCGGGCGGCGCAGCCTCGTACGTGCGCATCTGCGTCACGTACGTCGCCTCGAGCGCCGCGGGGTCGTACGACCCGTCCGCCGCGCCGAAGCACGCGCCAGCAGCGCCGGCGACGCGAAGACAGCGCCCACCCGCTCGGCGAGCTCGCCCCACCGGCGGCCGTCTGCGAGGGAGAGGGCAGACCCGGCGGAGAGAGCGGGAGGCTGCGGCGGCCCAAGCTCGCCCGCCGCCCGCCCGACGAGGACAGCGCTACCGTAGCCGACCGCAGCGACGCAGCGAGGCGCGACGCCGAGCGGCAGAGGCAGCCGCTCCGCGTGTGGCCGCTCCAGCGCGGCTCCGGCCCCGAGTAGACGGCGGCGTCGCCTCCGCCGCAGAGCGCGAGGCCGTGCGAGCGGCCGGCCGCCACGGCGGTGCAGCCCGCCGGCAGCTCGAGAAGCTGCGGCGTGGCGGTGCCAGACGGAGCGGCGCCCGCGGCCGAGCTTCTGCGGAGAGAGCGCGCCTCCGCTGCGAGGGGGGCTCGCCCCCGGCCTCGCCCCTCGCCCTGCCGCCGCCGCCGCCTCGCGGCTGGACGCCCTTGCCCCAGCAGTAGACGCTCCCGTCCTCGAGCAGCGCCATCGCCCAGTCGGAGCCGGACGCGGCGGCCACAGCGCGGCGGCCGCGCAGCGCAGGCACCGCGCGGAGAATAGGAAGGGCAGAATCCTTAGGCGCGGACAGACTTCTCCATTACTCAGTAAGGAAGGCCTGGCAGTGACCCACGACGATCTCTAGTGTCCAGTGCAACACCCGAAAATACCCGGAAAATCCCAGGTATTTTCGGGTTTTACCCGGGTTTTTTGCCATTTTCTGCTTGCTGGCCGCTGAACAACAGTAACAAACAGTAACAAACAGTAACAGCATGGGCTGGGGTGAACACTTGAACAACGTTGAGGATTTCAGCCAACAATAGCGCAACTGTTAGGCCCCAAATTAACGTTAGGCAACCCTAGCGGCGCTTCCGGCCTGTTCCGCGCCTCTTTTTATGCTTTTCATTGCTTTGGGGGGGACGAGGTCTCATCAACTTCGAAACCGCCTTTGAAAGGGGGGGAATGTGTGCGTCCCTGAGCGGGTTGAGGCGGGTTTTATTGCGCCAAATCCTCCGGGACAGACCTCTCGGGTGGGCTCGGGTGCACCCGATCGGAGATAACCATTTTGGCTCGCCAACAAGCCCTCCGCGCCACCGTTGGGATAATACTTTTTTCTCGAAGATCACGTGTCCACCGCACCTACGAATCACTGCCTGCCGCTGTCCCTCGCCAGCCCCTCGCCCCGCCGTACAGCCGCCCCCACGGCCCCGTCCTGCTCAGCACCCTCCCCACGCTGAGGACAGTCTGCGAAGCCATAAAGGCAGCGAACCCCCACCAGATCGAGTGCAGCGTGGGCGGGGCACGCAAGTGCGCGAGACCCACGCACAGAGCCGAGCCAAGCCAGATCCCCGCCGTCGCAAAGCCCCAATCGAGGCCTCCCATCACGACGCCATTTGCGGGGAAAGCAAGGCCCTTGAAGAGCTGGCATAGCAGGACGGGCGCCATGATCGACGCGCACGTCTCTCGTACCACCACGTCGGTCGTCAGGCTCGCCACAACGGCGGCAGGCCGGAAAGCCGTCACCGCAGTGAGCACGCCCGCCACTCCCCCGCCGACAAGCACACCACGCCCAATCACGTGCCACGCGTCGCGCCGAGCCGCGCGCTTGGCCTCCTCCGCCCCCTCGCCATCCTTCGCCATCGCGTCGAGGCTGCCCAGCGCCCGCGCGAGGAGAGTCTGCGTCGCGACGGCAACCGACTCGCAGAGCTGAGATAGCACGACGCCGAGGTTGAAGCAGAGCAGGTGCGCCGCCGACGACACCGCGCCGAGCGAGGCTGCCAGCCGAGTGCAGTACGTGTAGGCCCAGACCTTGCCGACCGTCCGAACAAAGACGAGCACGCCGGCGCGGCCGTACGCCCTCAGGGACGGGGCGAGCCGGCGGAGGGAGGCGAGGGAGAGCAGCGAGAGGGGCGACACCGACACGCCGGTTCGCCGCGAGAGCGCTCGAAGCAGGCCGACGAGGGCGATGGACTGGGCGAGGCCCGTCCCCGCAGCCGCTCCCGCCGCGCCCAAGCCGAGCGGGAAGATGAAGAGCGGGTCGAGGAGCGCATTGAGCAGCGAGAAGAGCAGCGCCCAAACGAGAGGCGTGCGCGTGTCTCCCAATCCGCGGAAGACGCCGTTGCTGCAGAGCCACAGCGTTGCCGCAGGCATGCCGAGAGCGCGCACACGGAGGTAAGACAACGCGGTCGGGCGCATCGGAGAGCCGACGCCGGCTCCCATCGCCGATACCATCCGCGGCGCGAAGAGCGCAAAGAAGGCCAACTGCAGCAGCCCGACGCAGAGGGCGAGGACGAGCGCCGCGCTGATCGCCGCGTCTCGTGAGTCCTCGCCGCCGAGCCGTGCCGCGCCGTCGCCGGACGCCACAATCGAGATGGATGTGCGAAGGAGAGGGTCGTTGAAGAGTTTGGCAGTCGCGAAGTGCGCCCCGATGGCGATGCCGGCGCCACCGAGCGCTGTCGCACCGAGACGGCCGAGGTAGGCGGTGTCCACGAGGCCAGCCAAGGGCTCGGCAGCAAACTGAGCCAGCGCCGGCACAGCGATTGACGCAAACTCAACGTCAAGCCGGCGGCGCGCCTCTCCGTCAGCCTCGTGGGGCAGAGGCTGCTCGAGTCGTGGCGACGCCACACGGCAAAGCAGCGACGGCGGCGACACATGGGAAAGCGAGAGCGGTGCGGCGTGGGCCGCGAGCGCAGCCCGGAGAGTGACAGCAAATGCCATCACGAGCGACACTCGACGGGGACGGCAAGATGTGATCGCTGAAGCCGGCAAGCAGCGGTGCCCGCCCAGCGTTTTGGGTTCGCGTCACCCGAAGGGGTCGGGGCGCCAGCCGAAGGAGCCCAACCTACGGCGAACCTTCTTTTGTAGACCGCTAGGATTGAGAGCAGCCTCGCTCTCAATCCTAGAAGTCGAAGGATTGCGACTGTGAGCATCCACGCTCGCAATCCTACGTCTTCTAGGACTAAGAGCAGCTCCGCTCCCAAGGTGACTGGTGACGCCTACGACTACTACCAGCGCGCTCACAATCCGAGCAAACTCTAGGGTTGCGAGCAACTTGGCTCACAATCCTAGCAACATGCCTCCGGTTGCGAGCAGTAGCGCTCGCAATCCTAGAACTTTCGCCGATTGCGAGCGACACCGCCCACAGTCCTATGACTTCTAGGATTGCGAGCGGGTGCCCTCGCAATCGGTGCGATCACTGTTTGGATTGTGAGGAGACCATCCCGGCGCGCTCACTCACAAGCGCTCGCGGCTGGAGCGATTGGGAGCGCCCTCTGTGCAGCAATCCTTGGATCTTGGGTACGATTGTGAGCGCCGCCGCTCATAGTCCTAGGATGCCAGGGCGGCGCTCCACGGCCACACTGTCCTGCCCAATGGATCGCGCCTCGAGATCTTCTGTGACACCGAGCGGTGGTACCCCGCGACCGTCATGGCGCGGGAGGAGGACGGGGACGGACGGATCGTGCACACGAGGTCGAGTACGACGGCTACTCGGGTCGGCGGTGGTGGCACATGCTGGACGACGAGCGGTGGCGCGCCGTCCCAGAGCAGGCCGGCGCGGGCGCAGGCGGCACTGCCACAGACGGGGATGGGGATGCGGCGATGGACCGCGCGGCCGACGGCGAGCAGGGCACCCACCTCGACCGACTATGGAGGACCCGTCACCAGACGACGCAGGGCAGACGACGGGGAGGCGGAGCAGACGCGCAGGGCGAGACGAGGGAGGGAGCAGGACTTTGCGGAGATCAGCAGGAGGATGTACGAAGAGATTAGGAGCCGCAGGGACCCGAGGGACCATGTGGAAGACGGCTATAGTGCTAGTGTGCTAGTCCCCCATCGGGAGGACGACCCCGGCTAGAAAGTCGCCGACCACACCCACAAAGAACCCTGCACAAAGATCGCAAGGGCGGGGACCTGTTCCATTTTACCCATCTCACAGTAGAGAGGTGTCCGTTTTTATTTATTTATTTGTGTCTCAGACGAGCGGTGTTTCAAAAAGAAAGGAACTCTGGGGGGAGGCGAGGGCCCTAGGGGGTACCCATGCGGGGGGGAGATGGGGTCCCCCAGCCCGCCGCAGGCGCCGATTTTTTTGGCATTTTTCTTTTTCGGGCGATTTTTGACCGCGCAAGATAAAAGGGTGGCTAAGGGCTCTGCTTGCAAGGCGCCCGCGTCGCAGACGCGGTACCATTGACAAATCTGCAATATACCCCCACACGAGCAAATAGCAAAATCCGAATACCGTGCACGAACTGGGCGATGTCGGCCGTGCAAGCCTTCAGCTGGTGCCACATCCGTAAAATTGAAGCCAAGAACGTCCGCCAAATCCGTGCTCTTTCGGCGCAACTTGAGGGGAAGCCGCTGATCGAGCCCAGCGTGCCCGCGGCCGCCTCCCGCGCAGCAGCGCCTCTGGGGACGACACGCTGCGGAATCGGATCGAGCCCATGGAGGAGGAGGACGCAGTCGGCGAATTGGAGGAGGAGGAGGAGGGCGCAGTCGACGAATGGGAGGAGGAGGGCGCAGTTGACATTGTCGTGTCTGACTCAGAGGAGGAGTTGGAGGTGCAGCCATGGGTGCTCCGGCAACCTAACCTGATCCAGAAGCTCGCCGACGTTGTCACTCAACGTGCGTCATGCGTGCTCGAGCTTGAGGGAGGAGCTCAGCTAACGCTTCGGCCAGCCCCCCAGCGCCGCCGCCCACCGCCACCCACAAAGCACCTGCTCTACTATCCCGTACCTGGCTGGCTGACGCTCACCCCCCCCGCTCCACTTTCCCCTGATCATGCCCGTGATAGCACCATCACTGTCGCCGTCCTGGTTTTGAACGTGGCAGCTAGACTCTAGGAACTCGGTAGTTGTGACCCCTCGTGAGTGAGGAGCAGGAGAGAGAGCTTTGTGGTGTTGGTGTGGTTGTCTCTCTATCTCCTCTTCTAGCTCTTAGCATGAGCTGCGCCCTGTGTCCGACCCCTTTTGCGCAGCAACACCTTGAACTTTTAGGCCTTCCAAATTCGGGTCGGAGCGTAGCGGAGTGGGCCCCGAGTTTGAAAAGGGCGACGGACGCTTGCGTCCTAGCCTCCAACAACGCCTCCCCGGCGCAGAGGGGCCCCCGGAGGGATGCACAACCGCTCCACGCCACGCCGCTTGCGGCGGTCCTCTTCCCAGCTCCGCTGAGGGCCCGTGAGTTATTACTTGTTTTCATGGGAATTCGGCGTACTTGCGGCCATGCTATCACGCCTTGCGACATCCTTTCGGCGCTGCTGACCGTGCCATGCTGCTCAACTGACCGCCTGCATAGCTCGCGGCCTTAGTCTTCGGCATTCAGTGACGACCTGATCGTACGGCCAGTAGGAAGGTGTCCTGCGTGCACGCTTCTGACGCAATGCGCGTCACAAACTGCCTCGGATTGGCTGCTGGCACTCTCGAGGCTATGCCTACACAGCCTCGCGCGCATGGGCAGTCAAGAGGGAACACGCACCTTCTCAGGACAGCGCCGGTGCCTCTCTCTTGGACCGGAAAACGTGGTGGTCTCGTGTCACCGATGTGGGACCAGTGCGGCATCGCGCCATCGACAGCTCTGAACTGCGCCTCACCACTGACCGGGAAGGCCGCCAAGTGGGTCAGCACCGGTCGCACATTGTGGCAGCAGTCAGCAGCGCATGTCTGATAGCTAGAGCAGCAGCGTCAGGGTCGCAGGGTCGGATCGTGTCAAGCCTCTCGCCCGGCCGGCCGTGTGCAGACGTCGGCCTGTCTGCTGTCTGGAGTGATCTGTCGGCGGTCAGTACGACCAATCAGGTCGGAGTTTTCTGATGATTGGAGGGTCTATCTGTATGTACCCCTCGAGATCTCTCCAAATCTGCCCTCCATTTAACTAACTGTATTTAATCGGGAAGTTGGTGAGACCGGAGACTAGCGGAGCCGGGGCCCCGTTTCCGCACACTGCGGCGCGGCGCACGGTGCCTCCGGGGGCCCCCGCCTCCCCCCAGTCTTTTCCTTTCCTCTGGGGCCCAGAGGAAAGGAAAAGAAAGGACTAAGAGGAGGGAGGGGGGAGGGTCTTTCGACAAAGAGAAGGCCCAAGTTTTCTTTTCTGACTTTCTTTTTGATGCGATAAATGTCTTCCTGCGGCGCAGCGGTGGTTCGTACCCCAACTACTCTCAAGAGTCAAGTCGTATCTGCTCCGCCCCCTCCTCCGCGGCCGGGCCCTCTCCGCCGCCGCCGGGGCCGGCGCACACGTACGCAAAAGTCTGCGAGCCGAGGAACGAGAGCGCCGGCCGGCTTTCGAGGAACGAGGCACCTCCCCGCGCGGCGCAGAACTGCCTGCCGTTCCAGTGCGCGCGGCTGACGCGCGCGCTCGTCACGCGCGCGGTGACGATGTGGTGGCACGAGTCCGCAGCCTCCGCGTCGCCGGGTCCGCACTCGACCGAGTCGGCGACTGAGAGCACCTCGCACAGCATGAGGGCGGCCGCGCCGCCCACGCCCACGTCGGGCAGCGGCGGCAGCGCACCCTCTCCGCCCTCGTCCGCGCCCTCACCGCCGTTGCCGTCGCTGCCGCTGCCACCGCTCCCGCTGCTGCTTCCGAGGGCGGAGAACGCATTGGCCGCCGCGCCCGCGCCGGCTCCAGCGCTCTCGTCGGCGATGCCCGCGGCGAAGGGCACCTTTGCGAGACCGAGGGTGGCGAACTTGTCGATCGAGTGGCCGTGGCAGCGGCCGATGGCCAGCAGCACCGACTCCATGCCGTGAATGGCCGCGGAGAGGCAAAACGACCGCCGCTGGAGGAGCAGCGTCGCGGAGAAGCGCTGCTTGTTGATTGACATCAGGAAGACGCCGTGGTTGTTGATGGGCGTGAGCCAAGAGACGACCATCGCGTTGTGCCGCCGCCGGCCGTCGTCGGCAGTGGTGAGGATCGAGACGGGGTTCGCGTAGAGGAGGCGCGAGAAGTGCTTTGGGTCGGTGAGCGGCACATACTCCTCAATCTCGGGGATCGGCTCCGCCGCGGCGCCAATCGCGTACGGCTCGCGCCGGCGAGCAGCGCCGCCACCTCGACGGCCCATATACATGTAATAGCAGGCTGGCTCGCTAGTGCTCGCGCAGCTGTACAGGTCAGGAACTCGTCGATCAGCGCTGCGACGTCCTCCCCGGCTGGCGGCGCCCGCTGCCAGCCGCGAAATCTGAGGTCGCCCCGCCCGCCTGCGCCCCCGCGACGGCCCCGCAGCGGCCGGGCCGGCTGCCTTGGTGGGCGGGGCACCTCCCGCTGCCGCGTCGCGGCCGCGGACGCGCTCGGAAGCACACCGCGGGCCTCTGCCGCGCGCCTCGAAAGCGTCGCCGCTCTCGACGCGCGGAAGAGCCGGTCCCATGCGTCGGTCCGAGCATCACGCACCCCCGTGCTCGGTCGCAGGCACCTACTCGACGGTCGACGAGCTCGCCGGCATGTCGCCCGCGCGATACGTCACTCCTGATCCCGATGACGACGGCTACGACGAGGACGTGCCCGCCGACCCCCCACCCCCTGCCGCCGACGACGATGCCGCGCCGGACGACGAGCCTGTGGTCGGCGACGCCGATGGCGGCGGCGGCGGCGGCACGGGCAACGCGCGGCGCTGGGCCGAGGTCTTGCCCGACCCGTCGTGCTGCCCCGCGCTCCCGCTGCTTCTGCTCGCGCTCATCGGCACGGTCGCGTTTTCCTTCTCGCGTCCGCCCGCGGCGCTGCTGCAGTGTGGACCAGCCACTCCATTGACGCTGCTGCTGGCGCCTCGACCCGAGGCGCAGTCAAGGACAGGAGCAGCGGCGAGAGGCAGCGAAGAAGTGGCACGGACGCAGCGAGCGCGCAGAGGCAGAGCACGAGTAGTCGAGCAGGAGAGGCGGCCGCACGTGCGAGCACGAGCACTGGTGTGCGGGACCACGTTGGTCGCATGTCGAGCTCGGACCTGCGCTTCGGGCCTTCGGCTTGGACACAGTTTTGTAGAGAAACGCGAAAAACGGCCGGGTACCAAGCGTGTACCCCTTTAACCCCTGTCCCATTCGCCTCTCTGATATGCCAGGACAAGACGGGCGCGGAGCCCGCACTCGAAGGGGCTACTAGCCTCTCTCGACTGAGGCTTTTCTTTTGACTACGCCGCCCTCCCCCCCCCACCACACACACACGTACACGTAGAGCTAACAGCTAAGAGCCTGGCGTCGGTGCTAAGCTGTGGCTCACGCGACACTGCCCCCGGACGTGTGAGGCGCAAGCGGATGTTGAGGGCGATGTTTGCAACCTAACGGAGGCGAGTGTAGCGGTGCGCTGTGCCGGCGCCGGTGCTGATGTGACTACTCCAAGAGACCGTGTCGATTGAAGACTACTCATGACAGAGTGTGTGCGGGTGGACGTGGGCGAGAGGCGTGATGTGGGATGGCGCACCGGTCGCGGTGGTGCGGATGAGTGAGCCGCCGCGCAGCCGTGGTGCTCGATGAGTGAGCCGCCGGGACAGAGCCGCACCTGCGCAGGCAGCAAAGGTGGGCGGCGTGAGCGCGCGCGGTGCCGCGCTCCACGGTGTGCGAGAGTGCCGGGCCGGGCGTGCCCCCATCAGCGATGGAAGCTCCAAGCCGGCACAGAAGCTCCGACACGGGCGTCTGCTGGTTGCGCGTGTCGACGAGCGGGCCCGAGCGAGGCCGCAGAGGAGGAAGAACGTCGGTCGTGCGAGCGCTGAGGACAAACGGACGGCTGAGTGAGGGACGGCAGTCATACCGGCAATAGTCGGTGTGCGGCGGCGGTCGCTCGGGGGCGGAGGCCGGCGGCAGGGAGAGAATCGGGCGAGAGCACGGAGCACGCCTGCCGTCGAGTGAGAGCAGACATCTACAGAGAGCACGTGCGGCCGCGCCGGGCCACCGAGAGGCGCACCTGGCGCAACTCGAGCGTAAGTGACCGTGGCGGCAGCCGCTCAGCGCTCGAGGCGACCATCCGGCCGCCGGGCGTGCCTCTGGCGCCGACTCGGCGCCGTCGGCGACCCCGCGCGGGCCAGAGTCATGTCGAGCCGGGGCTGAGCCGGCGGTGGCGGACGCTTGGATGCACGCTCCGGGGGGCTGCCGGGTCGGATCGGCCTTTCGGGCGCCGCCGCAGCGCCGCGGAGGCACTGTTCTGGTGAGAACACGCGCCACTGAGGCCGACTGAAGTTGCACGCCCAGGCCAGCCGGCGCGCAGAGAGGGTCGTAGAAAACTATTCTGTCCTGAGGAACCTGCAAGTCGCGTGGGCGACGACGCCTCGGCCGGAGACGAAGCGCTCGAGGTCTGGATCGAAGGCGACCGAGAAGGCGTTGGCGCGGTGGCCGTGCTGCAGGTAGAAGAGCTCGACGGCGCGATGAGGCAGCAGCGGAGTGGGAGCAGTCGGCGACAGCTGTACTACCGAGACGAGGTGCCCGCGCAGGGTTCCGGCTCCTACCCAGATAGGGGGTCTGACTGAGTCGCGCCAAAACGCCCTACCTACCTACCACCTACCTATTGCGGGCGCCAACCGCCAGGCTCCGTGCCCCACCTACCTACCTCTTCCCAGGCCGCGCTGCGAACGAAGCGAAAAATACCCGTTGAGCCCTCTGTGAATAGGCTCCCAGCGCCCGCCGCACCCGTCTCGGCTGGCGTCCCAGCCGCAGGCGACTCGTCTGGCATGGCCCGTTCGCGGCTAGCCGTCTCCCGCGCGAGCGAAGCGGTTTTTTAAACCCCTCCCCCCCAACACCCCCACCCCCACCCCACCACCACCACCAACCTACCTATTGCGGGGCCCTCTGGGGCGGTCAAAAGCGGACCTACCTACCTATTGCATAGGGGCCAGCCAGTGTGGACAGACCCCCTATCTGGGTAGGAGCCGGAACCCAGCACGCGCGGGCCTTTTGCTTGTGGTTGATAAGGCAACAAAACTCTCTCTCTTGATAAGGTGGCACCTTGGACCTTGCGTTTCTTTTCTTTATAGGCTGTCCTCCTTTTAAGTTTTGACCCCCCGCTAAACGCGCGAGGCGGTGGCGGCGGTGGTGCGGGGGATTGACAGGGGAGGCGGCGCGGCGGCGGGATTGACAGGGGATGGAGAGCCGCGCCTCGAACGCGGCACTGACTTTGCCGGCGGCGCGCAGCCGGAGCCGCAAGCCACCCCTCCGCTGTGCTCCCCTTGTCCGAACAGCCTCGACTAGATCCCCGATCGGACGCCGCGCGTCTGAGACGCGGGCGCCTTGCGGGCAGAGCCCTTAGGCTTAGCCACCCTTTATCTTGCGCGGTCAAAACTACCGAATCCATACTTCCGGGCCTGGGTTCGGGCTCCGCCGTGCGTGTGGGGGTGCTGTCGGAAGTGCTTTGCGCACTTGGAGCACTTGGAGTGCAGTCATTAACCGCACATCACTCATCAGGGCCGGGGAGCTAAGAAGCGCACCCAGCGGGCCGGATGATTGGCATCGGGTTGCGGGCAAGCAAGAGAGCCCTAGCCCTGGCCTGGGGGTGCGCGTTCGCAGGGCAAGGGCCGTAAAGTAAACACGGGTCTCCGAGGGTTAGCCCCGCGTACCGGGTTTCCCCTTAACTGCAGGACGCCCCCTCTACTCGGAGCTAATGAACACCTCACTGCACGCCCCACACCACCGCTCTACACTCACTTGCGCAGACACTTGAGTAGACCCGCTGAGGGCTCAGCACCCCTCGTCTTCCCAGGGTCCCGACCTTCCTTGATTCGCTCTCTTGCTCGTCTCCCGAGCGTTATGCGACGACCGGTATGGTCGTTTCCCTCGTTGTTGGTGTCGCTTTCTCCGCTGCCGCCCTTCGTCTTCGCCAGCTTCTCCCGGCTCCACCGCTTGGCGACGGAGATTTTTTCTTTTGTGGCCTTCTCCTCGCTCGTCGACGCGCCCTCTTCGCGCTCTCTTGTTCGCCTGCACGCTCGAGTCGCCTTCCACCCCGGCAGCCGCGCAGCCTCGCACACCCGGATGGGCAAGAAGGGCGGGAGGGGCGGCCGCAAGGTTGGCGGCGGCGGCCGGCGCCACGCAAACAAGGACCACCGCCAGTCCGGCCTCAAGCACACCGTCAACAAGGGGCGGTGGGACGACATCTGCGCGCGACAGCTGGCGCCCGGTGTGGCGGAGAAGGTGCTCGCCGAAAAAACCGTGCCCGACCCAGACCTGCCAGGACTGGGGCAGTACTTTTGCATAGCTTGCAGGCACGCCGGACCCGCCCCGCCCTCGCGCCACGCGCGGCCGCCGCCTGGCCGTTTCCCGTTCCCGCGAGCCAGCGGTGGCAGCAGGGTGCTCACCCCGTGCTCCGCGCCCCGCCGCCGCAGCAAGTACTGCATCTCCGCCCAGGCGCTGGCAGACCACCAGAGGACGCCGAAGCACAGGCGCGCCGAAACACAGAGTCTCGACGCAGGCCCAACCGCCTTCTTCGCTGATCTCCCGGCGTGCTCTCAGGCGACGAACAAAAACATTGACAACGGAGAAGATATACGATCATGCCGAGGCGAACGCTGGTGCCGGCCGCGGGTCCATAGACAACGGCTTGCAGGAGCGTGAGGGAATGGCGGTCGAGTGATGCACGCATGTGCAGTATTTGCACGGCGGCGCCGCTGTGCTGGGACGACGTGGGGCTGTGACCCATGCGATTTTGCGGCAACTTGCGGTGTGTACGGTCAACACGCCGGCGGGTCTCGTGTTGCGAGGAGTAGACGCCGGACACGGCTCCCTCTCCGGACTCCGCTTCGAGGAGATTGGCGCTGACCGCTGTGTAGAGCCGTTCCCGTACTGGCAGCGGTCGGCGTGTGCAGTGTCCCGACACGCGCCGCACCGCCGGTCACATGCGTATACGGTCGTCGCATGGTGATTGGCCGTACATTTCAGTCTTCACCCTGTCCCTAAATTCCTATGTGTGACGAGATTTTTTGCCCCCCCAAGGGCTCTCCCGTTTCTCTACATACATATCTAACCACGTACAAGGGCTGGGAGAACGGGCACTACCAGTACCACCGCAATAGCGCCGCCCTGGTGCGGTGTGCACTGGCCACTTCCGTTGCGCCGCCGGCCCAAGGCCAAGCGGTTGACTCCTCCCGACTGCCAGTCAGTCCGGGCTGCAACCGCACCGGCTGCCCTGCCCGGCAGGCGCTGCCGCGCCCCGCCGGCGCCAGGCCCCAAGCGCACACTCGCCCCGCGCACACGCTCCCAGCCGACTCCTTCCGCGCCACACACCGCAGAGGGGGCCTAAACACACACACACACACACACACGCCCACAGCGCATACGAGGGCGCGAAGGAATCAGAGAGACTCGCAGCAGGTTCAACAGCCAGGCCTAGCCGGGAGCTGGAGAGCTCTGCTCGGGCGCCCCTCCCGCCGCCGGCCCTCCCGCCGCCGCCCCTGCGGGCGCCGGCTCGGCCGCCGGCGCCCCTCTGGGCCCTCCGAAGGCGCGGTCGACGATCGCCTCAACGGGGTGATCGAACAGGACCGGCACCAGAGGTATGCACGCGATGCCGCAGCCGGTCGGCACCCAGCGCCGCCAGCCGAGGAGGTGGGGCGGGGACGCGTAGCCGAGCCTCGCGTGGAGGAGCACGTGCTGCGCCGCGTGCACGACCGAGTGGATGAACGCGGCAGGCAGCAGCATCGTCGCCACCGCCTGGAAGGTGGAGGCGTGCAGCACGGCGCGCCGAACGGCGCGGGCCGACGGCGTGAGATCGTGCACCTCGAAGCCGTGGATGACGACGTCCAGCGTCACGTAGAGCCACGAGACGAGATACGAGGCGCTCACCCATGCCGACGCCACGACCGGGCGCAGCGACTCGCCCAGCTCAGAGGTGAAGGCGGTGAGGCGATAGTGGGTGAGGAACCAGCGCAGCCGCCGCCGCAGCTCGACGCCAAG